ACTGCTGTATGAAAAGTGAATTTACTCTGTAAATCTTCACCCAAATCAAAATAAAATTAAGAAAAAAAAAAAACTACGTGTGTGATTACGTAGGTAGATATGCATGAGTATATGTGTTTAAGAAAGCACATGTGAGTACGTGCTGCTGTTGTTAGGTGCCATCGAGTCAGCTCTGACTCACAGTGACCCCATGCACAACAGAATGAAACACTGCTCGGTCCTGCGCCAACTCACAGTCCTTGCCATGCTTGAGCCCATCCTTATAGCCACTGAGTCAATCCATGTCATTGAGGGTCTTCCCCTTTTTCATTGACCCTCTGTTTACCAGCATGATATCCTTTTCCAGGGAATGATCCCTTCTGACATTGTGACCAAAGTAGGTGAGATGAAGTCTGGCCATTCTCACTTCCAAGGAGCACTCTGGTTGCACTTCTTTAGGACAAATTTGTTCATTCTTCTGGCAGTCTGTAGTATTTTCAGGATTCTTCACCAACACCACAATTCAAAGGCATCAACTTTTGTTCAGTCTTCCTTATTCATTGTCCAGCTTTCACATGCCTATGAGGCGATGGAAAATACCATGGCTTGGGTCAGGCGCATCATGGTCTTCAAAGTGACATATTTGCTCTTTAGTAATATTGAAAGAGGTCTTTTGCAGCAGATTTGCACAGTGCAATAGGACATCTGATTTCCTGACTGCTGAAATGTGAGCCTATGCGTGTGCATGCATATCTGTAGACATAGTTATACAAATGCTTGTGTGCTGATATATATTCACACACACACACACACACACATAAAATAAAGCACATAGATGACACAATTGTGGATACTTCCTAGACATAATCAAATACCTTGTGGGCTTGGTTTACTGGGGTTGAAGGCTTAGAACCATAGTCTGTGGGACAACTCGGTCAGTAGGCATAACACAGTTCATAAAGATAATCTTCTGTAGCCTATTTTGGTCAGTAGCATCTGGGGTCTTAAAAGCTTGCAAGTGACCATCTAAAATATAACTACTGATCTGTACTCCTCTGGAGCAAAAGACAGAGGAGGAGGCCAAAGGCTCAAAGAAGAAACTAGTCCACAGGACCAGTGGCCCACGTCAACCATGGTCTCACCTGTCCTGAGACCAGAGGAACTGGATGGTGCCCGGCTACCACTAACCAACCATTCTGACATCTGATGGTCCTGGATAGAATGGGAGAAAAATGTAGAACAAATGTCAGATTCCTAAAAAGGGCAGACTAACTGGACCAGTAAGGACTCGAGGAAGCCCTGAGACTATCACCATGAGCCACCCTTTAAACTTGGAACTGAAGCCTCTCCCAGAGGTGGCCTTTCAGTGGAACAGCAGATTGACTCATAAAATAAACAATATTGCCCCTGAGTACCGTGCTCCTTTAGATAACCGTCTATATGAGAGCAAACGGTCAGCATTTCTGCCAAAGTAAAGATGAGAAGGTAAGGGGGGCACAGAAGCTAGGTGGTGGAAACAGAAGTACCGGATAAATCAGAGAATGCCAACATACTGTGAGAACTGTAACCGTCACTGAGCAATACATACAGAAATCATTGAACAGGAGCCTAATTTGTTGTCAAAACACAATGAATTATTACAAAAAAAGGACATAAGAACCCTAAATGAGTATGCACTTAATAAGAGGTCTTCCATGCACGTGAAACCAAAGCTGAGAACTAAAAGGAGAAACAGGTGGACGTACAGTTGTAGCTGGTCTACTATGGTTGGTTGTTCTAGGAGCACATGCCTCACGAGTTCCACCATTTAGTTTGTAGGCCAATCTGTTATTTGACTGAAAGATGACCTCCAGGAGTGGCTTCAGTTCCAGGTTAAAAGGGTGTCTTAGCCAAGTGCTTACCCAATGCACCACAAGGGCTAATTCCATACATTCTAGGACGGCTAAAATGCAAATGATTGATAATATCAAGTGTTGGCAAGGATGTGAAGTAACTGGAACTCTAACGCATCGCTGGTGGGAATACAAAATGGTACATTTACTTTGGAAAACAAAAGTTTGGCAGTTTCTTATAAAGTAAAACATAACTCAACCGTCTGACCTAGCCATTTCACTCCTAGATATTTACCCAAGAAAAATGAAAACAGATGTCCACATGAAGACCTGCACATGAATGTTCATAGTAACTCTATTCATAAAATCTAGAAAGAACTCAAATGTCCACCGTGTGGGGAATGAATACACAAATTGTTGTGCATCCAGGCAACTGTGTTCTACTCAGCAATAAGAAGGACTGGATTACTGATACCAGGGACAATGTGGATGAGTATCAACAGCATCACACTGAGTGACAGAAGCCAGGAACACAAGGCCACATGGTGTCTGATACACTTTTGTAAGAAATTGGAGAAAGGTCTGGGTGGCTGCCAGGCCTGGGGGCCGGAGGAGGGAGCTGACTGCAGGGTGATGGAAATGTTGTATATTGTGATTGTGGTGGAAATTATATGCCCTATACAGTCATCAGAACTCATCAAATTGTACAGTAAAAATGGGTAAAGCTTGCCATTTGTAAGTTATTGCTCAGTAAAGTTGACAATGTTGTTGTTGTTGTTGTTGTTATGTGCTGTCGAGTCATACCCGACTCATAGCGACTCCTCCTTGGGTTTCCGAGGCAGTATCGCTATGGAAGTAGATTGCCCAACCTTCCTCCCGAGGAGTGGCTGGTGTGTTTGAACCGCCAGCCTTCTGGTTAGCAGTCAAATGTCTTAGGTGCTACGCCACCAGAGCTCCTAAAGTTGACAATAAAAATGTAATTAATTTTTCTTTCATTTGCTGTCAGATTGAGCAAAGGGGAGGGTGAGAAGTGCGGAGAGGCTGGGGGCAACCTTTACGGGGAGTAAGCCGAGGTCAGAAGAGAGGGGTCTCCTTTACGATGTTGAAAGGGGACATGGGGACTGCTGCAGAGCGTAGTGTCCTGTGCCTGTTTACATGCCCACAGGAAGGAAGCAGGGCAGAGAGATGAGGTGTGGGAGGGAGCGTGCTGATGGCAGGAGGTACCTGGGCAGGTGAAAGGAGGCAGGCTCCAGGCAGGGAGGGCATGCCTGGGATGAGAGAAGGGACGTTTTCTAGGGGCCTTTTTGTAGGAAATGACAAACTGATTCTAAAATGGAAATGAAAAGGACCTAGAATCACCAAAATGATTTTTATAAGGAAGAACAAGATGAGGGGACCTGCACTAGGTAATTTCAAGACTCACATAAACCCCCAATAGTCGAGACAGGCCAACACCAGTGACCGGTGCCTCGACTCCGATCCGTGGCATCCGTGTATGTATCAGAGCAGAACTGAGCTTCACAGGGTTCCAGAGGCTGGTTTCTCGAGATGGCCAGGCCTTCTTTGCTAGGTGGACCTGAGTCTCCAATCTTCTGGTTAGTAGCTGACATCAACCATCTGCATCAACCAGGGTCCAATCGAGACAGTGTAGTATTGACAGAGAGACAGGACATGTAGGTCAAAGGACACAACGGGAAGTATCAAGAGGCAGGAGGAAAGGAGTAGGAGTGGGTACCAGCCAAAGAGACTTGTCCAAAATGGCTAACACCGAGCTTGCCCAGTGCCCACCCCAAGGCTTAGCTGTGCCCTGTGAGTCAGAAGAGGGGAGGTGGCAGCAGGGGAGAAGGAAGACCATTTCAGATTCCTCCCCCTCAAATACCGACAGGGAGGACGGCCCAAGATCCAGACGGCACTCCCTGCTGACCTCCACCAGCGGGTCAGGCAGACACGGTCTGGACCACCCCTGCCCACCCTGGCCCCTCTCCAACGCCCCTCCCCAAAGCCAGGCTCTCAAGTGGTGCCAACCCCAAACAGTGTGCTCTCCACCACAGGGTCAGTTGGAGGTGGAAGGTGGTGAGGAGCCCAAGGGGGATGGACACTGGGCTGCAGTCCCACCCTCCCAGGGGCCTTACTTCTGTTCCCCAGCCTCTTCCTGCCTGGTTCCCAGCAAGCGCCAGGTTCTAGGCTCTGCTTCCATCCAGAAACCAGACCCGGAGTGGCCACATTCATGCCTCCTCCAGCTCACTTTTCCTTTGGAAAACCTGTGCCGCAAATGCTATGTCTCACTAGAGAGGGAGACGGGGGCTCTCGGGGACAGCCTGGGGGAAAACAGAAAGCCCCAGGCAACCACCGATGAACCACAAAGACTCGTTCTTGTGGCTTTGGGGCAAAACTCCCGACCGCAGCCCTAGGGGCTGAACTGGGCCACAGTTCCACTGGCTACCTCTCGGGGTCACGCGGGGGCTTAATGTTAGAGCCCGGTGGAGCCCCTGCCTCTGGGTGGGGACTGGGGGCCCAGCACCCCAAGTGAGAGGCAGGCAGGCAGCTGTCAGCCCAGGTGGGGAGGCCAGGGTGTCGGCCAGCAGCTCTGACAGCCAAGACCACCGTCCTGCTCCCAAAGCAACATCCCAAAGCCTCCGGCGAGGTCACCCCTGGGGGTCCTTGCTGCCTGGACCCCACGAGGAGCAGCCAAGCAGCTTCCAGTCCAACTCCCGGGAGGAAGGAGAGGGCCGATGAGGAACAGAGGCAGCCGGGGGCTTAGCGCACGTTTATGCAGGTTGACAATCAAAATCTCTCTGGGAAATGCACTTGCGTAAACAAGCCGAACAAGGTGGGAGTGGCTCAAAACAGAGCCAAACCCGGTGGGGTCCACAGGAACAGGAGACAGCAGTGGGGAAAAGGGTGTGCCACACAGGCAGGCAGAGCAGGAGGCCCAAGGGCGGGTCGACCGTGGCGCCCCAAGCTAGGCCGGGCATCCAGGCTTGGGGAGTTGCTCTCTGGGGACCTGCGGGTTAGCTCGGGGCTCCTCGGGGCAGTCCGTCCGCACTCTCCGCCAGCCTGTGCCTGTGAAATAGGCCGTAGAGCACACGCAGGGTGCTCTTGGTGTCCTTGTTCACGATGTCTGTGGACCAGAGGGGACAGGCAGAGGGTCAGGCCGGGGGGGTGACCCGCTGCCTGGTTTGCATGGAACCAAGGGGCTTCCTGGGACATGGGACCTCAAGAGCTAAAGCCAGGAGGACAGTGTGTCAGGCTAGACCTGAGTCCCAGGGCCCACTCTGTGACCCAGCTTGCCCCTCCTGCCATCCAGTCCTCCCCTGCACCCCTCTTGTAGGGCCCCTGGCCACAGCCCCTGTGGTGGTTAAGTTTGTGTGTCCACTTGGCTGGGCCTGGTTGAGTGGCTGGGCAGCTGGTGGTAGTTATTCCCCATGGTGAGACTGGCAATCAGCTCCATGGTGGGATCTACCACAAGCAGCTGAGTAGCTGCCTTTGGGATGTGGTCTGCTTCCTGCGCATAAGGAGAAGCCTTGGGAATGGTCTCTAGCCTAAGGCACGCTTGGACCCTGCATGCCACCCTGTCATTCAGCAGCCTGCCATGCCCTGCCGATCTCGGGACTTTGAATGGACTTGAATCAATGGCCTGCCACGTGGTTTGATAATGTTGGGACTGTGCCTTTGTACTTGTTGACATTGGGTTTGTCAGCCTCAGCAGCTAGCAGCTGCTTGAGTGAAGAGATGCCTCCAGCTTCAGTGGCCGGGAGCAGGAGGCAGAGCTGAAGCCCAAGGTTGAGGGGCTTTCACCCAGGCCCTAGAGCCTGGCACCTAGAACTCAGACTTCTAATCTCCAAAACTGTAAGAGAATAAACTCCTGTTTGTTCAAGCCTTCCCATTTGTGGTATTTCTGTTAGAGTGGCACTAGGGAACCAGAACAGCCCCCTAACATAGCAAGTCCTCGAGGTCTGCTCTGGGGGTTACTGGAGATATGCATGTGGATGGTGCAGGACCTGGGTGGTTACTGGGGCTATTGGACCAGACAGATGGTGCAGGTGGAAGGGGTCAGCACGGGGCCCCCTTATAGGAAGAATCAGCAAACGTTCACCATCCCACTCCAATCCAGTAAGACTGTGCCAGCCCATAGCTGTTGCCCACGGCCCTGGCTTGCCTCTGCTGCTCCCTCTCACCTTGGGTTGGCCTGCCCAGAGAATACTACCACAGAGCCATATCTGGCTGACACTGACCTTCAGGGTTCACAGGGTAGGTGAGCAGGCCTTCGTCCTTCAGCAGCTCTAGGGCCAGGGTGACATTGTGTACCTACAATGACAAAGCCCCATCAGATGTCAGAGAAATGAGGGTCCCCAGCCCATGCCCTGATCCCAAATGCCAGGCCTACCTCACCAGCCACATCCTCCATTTGTGGCCAGACCACCAGCTGCCAGCCCAAACTCCCACCAAGCTTTCATTCCTAGACTGTGACCACAAGAAGCACTTCTCAGAGCCTTGAGTATGTTCATGTGTCATGGACCTGCAGGACTGTGCATGCTTCCCCAAGGAATTCTCATGGGACCAGTGTTTCAGAACATTTTCACAAAGTATTTATTGACTATTGTGATGGTTAAGGCTATGTGTCAGCTTGGCTGGGCCGATCCTCAGTGGCTGGGCAGATATTCTGTAATCATTCTCCATTTTGTGATCTGATGTGAGCAGCCAATCAGTTGAAAGGGGAGTTTCTTTGGGGGTGTGGCCTGCAGCCAATATATATGGGTGTCTAGCCAGGGCTTCAAACCAGTTCATTCCAGTCCCACCCCCTGCTGAGAACTTGCATTTCTACCCCAGACCTCCTGAATCAGAACCTACTGTTTAGCAAGATCCCCAAGTGATTCTTGGTGATTCCCAAGTTATATGTAAAAACCACCTGGGGACCTTGCTAAATGTAGGTGCTGATTCAGGAGGCCTGGGCAGCAGTGCAAGTTCTCAGCGGGGGGAGGGGGGGCTGACCGGGAATGAACTGGTTTGAAGTCCTGGCTCCGGAAAAGCTCACCCTCTTGATCCTACATCCGACTTGTCATCCTCTGACCTCCATTTCTTGGGATGTGAGCCAGCAGCCTGCCTTCTGACCTTCCAATTTGGAGCTTGCTGGTTCCTACAACCATGTGAGTGAGGAGAAGCCTCCAGCCTGACATCTGACCTACAGATTTGGGGCTTTCCAGCCTCCACAACTGTGTGAGCTATTTCCTTGAAGTCAATCTAGATGGATGGATGGATAGATAGATAGACAGATGATAGGTAGATGAGCTAGATAAATGATAGACAGATGATAGATAGACAGGTGATATACAGACAGGTGATAGACAGGTGATAGGTATTTATAGAAACAGCTGTGCTTCGCTGGTTTTGCCCCTCTACAGAACCTGGCCTAAGACAAGCAGACACTACACACCAGCCTTGCAATGGGGGACAAAACAGACCTGGCCCTGCCCTTGTGGACTTTGCTTCAGGAACCACTGCATTGACACTATAGCAATAGTCACGGTGGTTTCTATTGGTCACACCCTTGCTCAATGGCACTCTGCTGGAACCAAAGGTGGTGTCCCAGGGAGGCTGTTCTGAGCTCCAGAGTTACCCTGCTGTTAGCTGACATTGGGTCGGCTCTGACTCACAGTGACCCCACGGACAAGAGAGCAACACGCTGCCTGGACATGCGCCATCTTCCAGGCTGTTGACGGGCGCGGGTCCTCGCTGCGGCCTCTGCGTGCTCTGAGAGGCCATCCCCTGCACCGGTGGACCACGCTCTGTCACGACCCTTATGGTTTTCCACTGGCCGGTTTTGGGAAGTAGGAGCCTGGGTGGTGCGAGCAGTGTGTGACCAGATGCCAACCTAAAGGTTGGTAGTTCAAACCCACCCAGCGACATTGGGGAAGAAAGGCTTAATGAAAATCTGAGCTGGGAAAACTCTCCGGAGCAGTTCCACGTGGTGCCACGTGGGGTCGCCCTGAGTGAGGGGCTGGCGTCTCGGCAGCTACTCGCAGTCGCCACCTTTCTGGAAGTACATCACCAGGTCCTCCTTCCTGGAAGTGCCACCCTGGGTGAGCCTGCTGGTTTGAGATGCGGTGCCGTAGCGCCCGGCATCGCGGCAACACACAGGACAGAGTGGCACACCAACCGGAGTTACCTGGCCACGTGCCACCTCCAACGCACGGTTTGAGTTGATGCAGGGGCACTCCCGTGTTGCAGGGTGCTAAGGGCAGGTCTGGCCCCGGAGGACGCATCCAGTCCTCCTGGCGGGGGAATAATTGCGTGTGGGAGGAAGCTGTTAATGAGAAACCGAATCTGAGGGCCTTGTGGCCGAGGTAACAATCCTGTGTGTGTTTCCCGCGGCGCAAGGTCTGCATCCCGTCCTCCTCGGCCAATGGCCTCTCAGCGTGTTTGTCACAGGTTCCTACGATGCAGATGCAGGCACGGAAATTCACTCTTGGGGTCTGAGCTAGGCGGCTGCTTCCTTCCCCCACATTGAAAGCGGATCAGCTTTTGAAGCGGGGCCTGAGAACAATGGGTTCCGGAAGCTGCCTGTACGCAGGGACCTCAGAAGTCGGGACATTTGGCCCCAGCTTGTAACTGGGGGTCTAGAAGCACACAGAGTATTGAGCACAGGCCCCGTGACCCCTGCAAACGCCGACGTCTGAGTTATAAGCAGGGACCCCGTGCTGCCTGAGACTCGGTTCGGAGCCTGGGCATTCCGTCCTGCGCCATTGCCACCTCTGCCTTCTCTCCTCGTGGCTCCACTTGCAGCTCCCTGGACGCGGGACCAGCAGCCTGGCCGCAGCTCCGGCTCCTGCGAAGCCCTCCAGTTCTCGTGGCTCCCAGGTGGAACCCTCACCCTCCAGGCGCGAGACCCAAGTTCAACGCCCAGCCAAGGTGCCCTAGGCACGGCCACCGCCCGTCCATCAGTGGAGGCTTGTGTGTGGCCAGATGCTGCACAGGTTTCAGCAGAGCTTCCAGGCTCAGACAGACGAGGCACAAAGGCCTGGCGGCCTGCTCCCGGAGATGAGAACCCTGGGGTCTGGTCCCACTGGGCGTACGGTCGCCAGGAGTCGGGTCAACTCAACAGGTTCAGGCAAGCTTCCTTCTGGCTGTAGAGCGGCTCGCAGCTCCCTTTCCCGACTCCCACGGGCTCCCCAGGAAGGAAACGGAGAAGCCACTGAGACAAGCCAGAGGCAAACGTGGCCACCACCCTCGGCAGCTGTGTGCTGCGGGCCAGGGCCCTGGACCTCTCTGAGTTCCGTGTCCTCCCACTGAAAGGGAGATGAGAAGAGCTCCTGCCTCAGGGTGACGTGAGGATTTCTGAGCAAGCTCACCTCAGTCCTGCCCCTCTCCCTGGGCCCAAGGCTCTGCCCTGTGTCACTCTGCAGGGCTCTCCCCGTCCCCACCAAGCGGAGGCGCAGGAAAAGGAGGTGATGACGGAGGCCAGTTCCACGCACAGCCTCCAGGCCTGTGGTGTGTTTCCTGGACTCAGCCTGGTTTCTTCTGTCACTGCCATGGTCGTGAGAAAAGCATGCCTGGGCTGATGGCCACTGGTCCCAGGAGGCTGGCAGGGGACGGGTGGCACAGACCACACCGCCCCGGCTGAACTCAGCCAAGACTGGCCCCCGCCAGTGCTTGCTGAGCGCTGGAGCCCAGGTGAGCCGACTGGCAGGCCCATGAGAATCGCCAACTCAAGCCTCCGGTGTGTTGGGGGTTTGTTACAGAGCATTTCAGGGGCAGGCGGTGACTGACACAGTACCTAGCCAAAGGGAGGGTCTGCTAATGGATTGAATGTGTCCCCCAGGATATGGGTGTCTGAGACGGTGACCCCGTTTGGAGACTGGGGTTTCCTTTGTTATGAGGTCACATCTGGGCAGCGTCGGTCCTCAACCTAATCACACCCGGGTGCTAGAAAGGGCAGAACAGACACACACTGGATGAGACAGACACCACAGAAAGCCAAGGAACACCACGGCACTCTCAGGAACGCCATGGAATTCTCAGGAACACGACAGAACTCCCGGGAATGCCACAGAACTCCCTGGAATGCCACGGAACTCTCCAAAATGCTACGGAATTCTCAGAAACACCACAGAACTCCCGGGGACACCACGGAACTCCTAGGAACACCACAGAAAGCCATGAAACACTGCAGAACTCCAAGGAACCCAATGGAACTCCCAGGAATGCCACGGAAAGCCAAGGAACTCACGGGTTTACCGACAAGGAGGGACCGTCCCTTAAAGTGGAGACCTTGATAAGGACTTCTAGCCGCCAGCACAGTGAGAAAATAAATTTCTGCTCTTTAAAGCCCCCACTTGAGGTACTTGGGTTACGGCAGCACCGGGCACCTACGACAGAGCCGAGTGTGACCACCACTGCCATCGCTGCCTCCAGGATCACACTCACCCACTGTCAGGGCTGCTCCTCCTCCCCTGGCACCCCAGCTCTCGGGAGTCGGGGCCCTGGGTCATCAGATCAGAAGCACACCCGCCTCCAGAGCAGGGGAGCCCACAGCCACTGAAGACCACAGCCCCACGGTGCAAGCGGCGGACAGCAAACCGAGGCGCGGGCTGGGTCGCAGTGGCTTCAGTTTCCCCTGGGAAATGGAGATACACTCGTGCCCCACCCTCTTCCTCAGGCTGTGGAGTAAGGATGAAATGGGATGACGGGTCTGGTGAGGCCAGGAGTAGGTAGTTAACTCCGAGACCGTGGGAGAAGGGCCAGGATTCAGGGGAGTATGGAGATCTGGGGGTGCTGGGAGGAACCTAGAAAGTGGCCCAGGCAGTCAGCAGGCTGGCCAGGCTGTGGCCACAGTGCAGGACAGCCAGGCTGAGACAGCTGCCTGGCGGAGACCTGGGGCTGGGGGAGACCAGGCCTGAGCAGAGACCCCCAGGGACCAGGGGCCATGTGTGGGAGTCTGGGGACAGAGAGTAGGGTGGGGCTGGGGAGGGGGCGGCACCGACCACACATTCCTGAACGCCAGGAATGAAGCCAGGAGGCCAGGTGCCCCTGCACAGGGCAAGCAGGTATGTGGGGGAAGGGCTGTGGGGAGGGCCTGGGAGCCAGGGCCCAGGTAGTGGGAGTCTGGTGGGGTCCGGGAGAGGCCAGCCCGGAACTGAGCCGGGGCCCAGGGTGTGGAGCTCCACAGCCCGTCAGGCCAAAAGGCTTCTGAAGTGCTAGGACATGGAGCTGGGGACAGAAGTCTTCCCTGCCCCAGGCCACCAAGGCTGGCCCTGGGAGTGGGGTTCCAGTCCCCTTTGCTGTCTCTCTTTAGCAAAGACAGTGGGGTGCAGTCCGGCTCTGTCACACGTGGGGTGGCCAGCATTCTGAGGCACACGACTCAGAAGCGACTCAACAGTCTCTGGTTTTTCATGCCAATTCCACAGCCTCATCCGCACACTCGCCCGTCCTGGAGGCAGACCATCGAGAAAAGTCCGTGGCCAGCTTACCATTTCCGCAGGAGAACTGGGCGTCAGGTAGAATTCCTTCAGGTGCAGAAAGAAGCCCTGCAGCTGTCCGATCAGCAGGAGTAAGATGACCCCGTCTGCAAACTACGAAGGAAAGAGCCGCAGCCAGGCCGGCCAGGGGGCTCCGGCTGTGCCCTTACAGGCTGTGTGGGCCTGGGGCAGGTGCACAACCTCTCTGAGCCTTAGGCTCTTGTCTGAGAAGCGGGGGCGGGACCATAAACACCAGCAGCCCCAGCAGGCATGAAGCAGTCGGGCTACTGGCTCCCAGTCTGTGCTCTGCAAACAAGAGCTATTTTACAATTTGCTGTCAAACAGCCCCATATCACTTTTTAAGCCACAGTCAGTCCCAGGATCTACGGAGACATCGGGGAAGAGCTAAGTGCAAAATTACCCTTCAGGGAAAGGTGGAGGACGTGTGGGCTCATTTTACCGGCTGCCACATTAATATTTCTGTCTGTGTGTTTGCAGATAAAGCTGCTGTCCCCACTATCAGCCTGTCATATGCTAATATAATCCTATTCAATCTCTTCAAAGATACAAAGCACAAGATTGGATGTTGGAGGACAAGCAGCTCTCCCTAAGTCCTTAATGGAATTTCCTCACATTAGGTCTATTCCAATGTGACTAGTCTGTGCCTGAAATCTCTTCTGCTGATCCTC